CCACATTTAAGTTTAGGTGGTTTTTGGTGTGTTGTAGATGCTTTTGTTAAGCAAATATGTGTTTCATTAAGAAAATAATCTGCAAGTTATTTCTGAGTTACCATGGATTGTTTGTGTGCGTGTGTGTTTTTTTTTTTTTGTGTGTGTGTGTGTGTTAAATACAGAGATGTTCACGGCGCTCCCAGTACCAAAGGGCCAGGAAACATTCCATTACAAGACCAGCACTTGGCTCTCGCCATATTACTAGAACTGGCAGTGCAGCGAGGCACACTAAGGTGAGAAGCCTGAGCACCTTTTTATTTTTTAGCCATTAGTGTTTGTTGGAAGGGCCTGGGCCATGCCTGCCTTCAGTGTTCATTGTTTTTAGCATAATATTTGCGGTTCAAAGCATATTAACCTTTTCTGTAATAATTAGAGGAGTAACAACTTATGAGCCTTTCTGCCTATAAAATAGGAAGCCCTATTTTATAACATGAAATCAGTGATGATGGAACTGTCTACAGATCTGAAATAGCTTTAGGGTTTGGGTCACAAGTCGCACACCAATCGAAGGAGGTGTATGCCATAGTGTTGTTGCCATGTAGGGCACTCAACATTGCTGTGACAGTCATGTTTCCTATTCAGTGCCAGTTAAAGTAGCACTGAATAAGTGAGCAATGATTATTTCTATTGGCTAAAACTTTACCAGAATACAGGTAAAGAGACATAGGAATCGCCTTAAAATACCTAGGCAGATGCTGTTAATTTGATTCGGTCTAGTTCTTTGAAGAAGAGAAAAAAAAGAAAAAAAAAAAAAGGTAATTTATGTTGAACAACTGGATTTGTGCTCTTTTGTGAAAATGTGTGCTAAGTTCACATCAGCTTTAGAACAAATTGTGCAGTTGTTAGCAGCCATTAGCAATTACTTAAAACATAGACTAATATCAAAGTCAGCTTGCTTTACCTCCCCTCCACCCCCAGTCCTCATGTGCTGTACTCGGGACAAGTCTAAATTCACTTTAAAACACTTTTTAAAATCTCTTCTTTCCCTTCTCTGTCAAGTAAATAAGAATAGTTTTTCATATGTTTAGCATTCTACTGTTACTAACATTAAAAACGTTTCATGGATAGTTTTATCGATAACCTAAAATAATTTCTTTAGGAATGCTTATTAATAAAAGGTATAAAATTCCTCTTTCAGCCAAATGTTGTCAGCTGTTATGTTGCTGCTTCAACTTTGGGATAATGGAACAAGGGAAACGGATAATGAGCGATCTGCACAGGGAACAAGTGCACCCCTCCTACCTTTATTACAAAGATTTCAGAGTATAATATGTAATAAGGACGTGCCCAATACTGAGGATGAGATTCAGGTACTTACCCTTAGATTATTTAAAAATAACATTATGTTGGTATCAAATTTGTGTGGCTGAAATAAAAAGTAATAAATTTATGCAAATAAGTTTTGATATGCTTCAGCGTAGAGTGTTATAAGATCTCTAGAGAGAGTGCTGCTGTCTGGTTGTCACGTATACGTTTGAATTTCTTGAGGCAGAGTAATTTCATGGCGTAGTTAACGTTAAGCTTTGTTTTTCAGAGTGCTGGTGCTTTATGACTATTAACTTAGTGTTGACTGGTTAACTTTTTTTGCACATTTGGATTGTTCTCATACAGTTTTGCTTGGATTTAAACAAACTGTGTTGTTCAGTGCACATTATTGATATTGATAGAATAAAATAGAGCAGGTTTTTATTATATTTACAGTGCGTATTTTCCTTGGTGTGTATGTGTTTGGAATTTTCCTTTACCACAGGAGAAAACATGAGCAGAATTAATTTAGGTTCTCTTAAACTCATGCGGGTACTCCACAAATCTGAAGTGTATCATGGATCTGTATGTGTTAGTGGCACAGAAACACTGTGAATGTTTTTCTGACAGCTCCTTCTTCTCTTTTTAGCTGCTGACTTTCCCTCTGAGTCCGAATGAAAGTTTTCTAAGGTATCTGACTCTACCGCAGGACAATGAACTGGCAATTGATCTGAGGCAAACAGCTGTAGTGATCATGGCCCACCTAGACCGTCTAGCCACCCCATGCATGCCTCCCCAGTGCAGCTCTCCTACATCTCACAAGGTAACTCTTTGCAACAGTAAATTTAGTACAATCCGTTTCCTCATCTTTGAAGTGTAGCTAGTGTGTCTGTGTATATCTCTAGCTACTTAACTCAGGTATAACTTGTTTTCAGTTTAGAAAGATAATTCCCTAAATCCTTCTGTTTTCCTTTTTCTCTGTCAGATGGTAACCTTGAATTGGAATTTAGGGAATTATCTTTCTGTTTTCCTTGTTCTCTGTCAGATGGTAACCTTGAATTGCCTATTTTTTCTTGTTTTGGAATCTCTAATTACATTTAGCCGTCTCTCAGTCAATCAGCCTTCAGATGTGATTGTCTGGTTTGTGAAACATATCTTACTACAGCATTGGCTGCTGCTGTACATTGGGCTGTTGCCTATATTTGTCAAGAACAAATCCTCAGGGCCAGACTTCCTAAATTTTGAAGTCTGATATACAGAAAAGTAAATGTTAAACTTCCCAACTTAAAGAATCTCTGAACGCTCAGTATAGATACTCCTAGTGAATTCAGTAACACTAAACAGTGTGATGCATGCGAGCCTTCATTTTTGATGTTCTGCTGAAAGATAAGCTTCAGTGACTATTGGCAGTGGTGACTGTGACAGACTTCAGCATTTTTCAGGTATAAAAGCTTAGAAAGTATTCTACTATATACATTTTAACTAAGCCACATATTTCAAAATTAATACTTAATGGAATTTTTCATTTTCTAGGGATCTCTGCAGGAGGTCATTGCTTGGGGCTTAATAGGTTGGAAATACTATGCTAATGTGAGCGGCCCAATTCAGTGTGAAGGACTTGCCAATCTTGGGGTTGTTCAAGTTGCCTGTGCAGAGAAACGTTTTCTAATACTATCTAGAAATGGACGTGTTTACACACAAGCATACAACAGTGATACCCTGGTGAGTGATTTTTGCATGGGTTTCTAAACCTGTTCTCTTCAGTATTATTTCATACTATAAATTGCTCCTACTATTGGCAGTATCTCAGGAGTAGATGAGGACATGGTGATTTTTGTGAGCTTCTCTTTTGTTGTTGAACTTTTAGAAGTAATGATTTTGATCTTTTATTGAATTGATTAAATATATCTGATTTCTGTAATTTTTATCAAGGCAGAGGTTATGAACGTATTAACTGCTTTCATCAGTGTGCTGATCTTGGTAACAACTGTAGAAGTAGGCAGCTATGCAATCGTTTGCTGTTCTGTGATATATTGCTGTACCCAAATTGTGTAATTTCTTAAATAAGACTCTACTGTAGCAGGTATTCATAGCCTGTAGGATAACAGCACTTTCATATAGACCTTTTAAGGATGAAATAAAAACAAATTCAGAGCATTAATTTTGTCAGAATTCAATGGTATGTTTGTGCTTATATATATTATTGAACTATATTTTCTTCTTCACCTCATCACTTCTAAACTCATTAGTTTATTAGTTTAGAATATTGCTAAAGTGGTAGTAAAACCTTGTCTCATTTTTCTGTGTATGGGCAAGTGATTCAAAATATAAGCAGCTTGTATGTTGCTTTTGTTTGGTTCACAGGGACCACAGCTGGTGCAGAGTCTGGCTTCCAGAAATATTGTGAAGATCGCAGCCCATTCGGATGGGCATCACTATCTTGCCTTGTCAGCTAATGGAGAAGTTTTCTCTTGGGGTTGTGGAGATGGTGGAAGACTAGGCCATGGAGATACAGTGTATGTAATAAAAATGATCATAGCATTTATTTGCCAGTGTTCCACACTCAGATTAGAAATCGTTTGTTTTGTATATGAGCCCTTAAAAGAAATATTACTGAGATACTGCCATTGGCAATGAAATCACAAACAAAAGTGAATGTACTCTGATGATGTTTTATTGAAGATCACTAGTACTTCTCAATCATTAAGTTTTTGACAACAAATTAGGCAAATAAGATATTTTGGATCCTGTCCTATTCAGGCAGTTGTGACCAGTTCAGCCTGCAAATCAGCTGTTAATGCTGGCATAGTAACTGACTATTCTTATGCATGTAAAATGTTTTATGGATTTTAATATGGTGGGTAATTTTTCATATGAAATTACCATAAAGGCAATTGCTTTAGAATTGAGTATATTTCAGTACAATGTTGGTATGTGTTCTCCTTACCTCTGAAAGTCTCATTAAGGAACAAATGCTCTTCAGGTTAACTAATGGTTAAAGATCCATAGGTCTGCCAAAGACTCTTACTGTATAAAATTATGTAAAAGCTAACTGTAATGCAGTTTTGTTTTTATAAGCTGATTTGATAATTCAGCGAATATTTTGCATTTAACATTCAGTAGTTGACACTTTTCTCTGTTGTCAAATAGAAATATCATTCTCTTTGCCTATTTTCTTTCCTCTTTAGTATTTGAATTTTTGTATTAAAAAAAATCTAAAATATTTTCCTTCTAAAATTTCTCTTTCCTTTAGGTAGAGCATGAGCGCACTATTAGCAGTTCTTCATGATTTTAGAAATCCACGACTCATTTTTTCTCTATCAACATTGATTCAGATCAGAGTGGAGCCATGTTTTCTCATGCAGTCATGTTGCATATGCATATTGCCTTTTTTTCCCCTGTGTTAAACAATATAATTACTGATCCAGTGCTGTATTGGAGGAGTATTCTGTAGAGAGTATTTTGTAGGTGTGTGCGTCAGTATGTTTCAGAATTGTGCCTTCTACCAGTGAATTTCCAGTAAACTAAGGGAGTAGAACCTCAGGGTTAGACTTAGCAATGAAAGATTACTTTTTCAGTAGTAGACTTAGATAGTTTTGAAAAACCCTGTATTAATTTAGTTAGAAATTGAGGCAGTAGATAGAAGCATAGACTTCTGTATGATGATGTGTATGTTGCTCAACTTTATAGCTCTACTTAGTAATAATGTTTGGAGCTATAACTGCAGCAATTATTTTCTAACAAATATAGCACATCTTTCATTATCTATTTATCAGATCATGTTTTGTGAAATATGTTGCCTTTCTTTCAAATAGTCCTCTGGAAGAACCGAAGATGATATCTGCTTTATCTGGCAAGCAGGCTGGGAAGCATGTTGTTCATATTGCATGTGGAAGTACCTATAGTGCAGCCATTACTGCTGAAGGAGAGCTGTATACATGGGGACGAGGAAACTATGGCAGGCTGGGTCATGGTAAGTTGTCTGATCTCTTAAAATACTGGCATAGGAATGTTTGATGGATATTTCTAATGTGTTTTATTTGATACACCTACAATTGCTTTGAAAAGAGCATATGGTCTTATCTGTAAGAAAAACCTAGTTTGGCCCCTTTTCTCTCCTCGTGAAGGCTACATCATGGTCTAAATCACTATTAGATGCAAAAGAAATCACATGGAACCTTAGTCATGATACTTAAATCTGCTTAAAAAAACCTTCCCTCTCCTCCCACAATAATAATTCAAAAAAAAAAAAAACACACCACACACACACACAAAGAGCTCCCCAGAACTTGCCACCATAAACCAAAGGCAAACAAAAGGAAAAAATCAGAAAACTCAAACCTTCCTTGTCTTTTCTTTTGAAGGTTCCAGTGAAGATCAGACTATCCCTATGTTGGTCTCTGGGCTGAAAGGCCTGAAAGTTATTGACGTGTCCTGTGGGAGTGGAGATGCTCAGACTCTTGCAGTTACTGAAAATGGTGAGTAGCAAAATATAACTAACACTTTTAAGTAAAATTATCTTTTTATACCTTCTTTCTAAAGATATTTATGCTGAAGATTTTGTGTTTATTTCTAGTGGCTTAAATTCCAACTTGAAACAGACATTCCTTTTCAAGAAATACCTATATACGAGTGTGCATACATTTTGCAAATAACATATACAGAAATGTTTCAGTGCATGTATATATACTTTAATTATGCATGTGTATATATTTGCATTTAACTTGCATCTATTTAAAATACCCATGTAAATGTGTAATATATACACAAATATTACATGTATACACATGTACATTAATTTATAGAGTATTATATAAATGGAAATAGCTCCTGTTGCTACAACAGCCAGATTGTTGAGGAAGAGAGTTGTCTTAGGTCAACAAGTAGAAAGTGCCAGAGAAAGGCTGTGCTTGGAATGCTGCTTCACAGCAGCCCTGAGTCGGGTAGCTGCTGGGGTTCAAAATTCGCATTGCATGATGTGTGCTATGATTTGTGTGTGTTGTTTGCCAGTTTGAGAACTTTTCATACCAGGAACTGCTATGCATTGTTTCTTCCTAGTTACTCACGTCATTTTGAGGACTATCTGAAGTGAATTTATAACTTCTGTTGAAATTTGTGCTAGTGTGTAAAATCTGATGTTTTTAAGAACTTGCCTGTCAGAACAGATACTCCTTACAAGAAAAAGCAGTGCATTATTTGTATGTATGTATGTATTTATTTTTCTTCTTTTTTAAAAAGGCCAAGTATGGTCGTGGGGTGATGGAGATTATGGAAAACTAGGAAGGGGAGGCAGTGATGGTTGCAAGACTCCTAAGTTAATAGAAAAGCTTCAAGACCTGGACATCGTGAAAGTCCGCTGTGGAAGTCAGTTTTCTATTGCTTTAACCAAAGATGGCCAGGTCTACACATGGGGAAAAGGTGACAATCAGAGACTTGGGCATGGAACAGAGGAGCATGTTCGATATCCCAAACTGTTGGAAGGCTTGAAAGGTAATGATTGAAATATGGAAATATTCAGAAGTGCTTTTTGTTGTTATTGGAACTACTTATTTTCACACTAGTGATCATATCTCCAAGACTGACAATACCATGTACACTGATGTCTTCTTTTTTGGTTTGTTGCATTTATATAGATAGGAATATATTTCTCACCACGTCTGTCTTTTATACATTTAAAATCCCAGCCGACTTGGAGACACTATTTCAAGTTAAATAGTTCTTGTCTCCTGTGTTCTCCATATTTCTGTGTTCTCACAGAAATATTTATTTAAAATACTTTTTTGTATTGTAATGCAAATAAATACGTGCTTAGATTAAGGAATGAGAATAGGATAAACAGAAGTCATTGGCAAATAGTGATGTCCTTAACACTGTGCTTTTGTAAGTATTTTTGACTAGCTTGTAACAGGGTTGGAGGATGTTTCTTCTGCTCTTGAGAAACTTGAGATTTTGTAGGGGGAAATAAAAGAGAAACCTTACTTATTCAGCAAGTGGAAGGTTTACAAAACAAAGCAAGACTTCCACAAGCCTGCAGACTTTGGCTCTTCAGCTCTCTCTTAAGAATCTTTAAGCACTTCCTCAAGTCTCCTGTGCTGGGCCCTTCCCACTTGCTGTGTGTGCATAGCTGAGGCAGTGGACATGTGTAGTGTGTTTGTAAGTGCTGTGGTTTGCTCTGCTGTTTTCCTGTCAATGACTGTAGTGTTTAAGTTACATTTTCAATATTTTATGCCCCTATCAGGAAAAAAAGTGATAGATGTGGCAGCTGGCTCTACCCATTGCCTAGCACTGACTGAGGACAGTGAAGTGCATAGCTGGGGGAACAACGATCAGTGTCAGCATTTTGATACTTTGCGGATCACCAAACCAGAGCCTGCAGCTCTCCCAGGACTAGACACAAAGCATATTGTTGGAATCGCTTGTGGGCCCGCTCAGGTAAGTTTTCAAGTTTTTAAGTTTTGTTATTTGTGACTTGTCCTTGCTAATTCTGTACACTAATCCGATTCTCTCTTTCTGTGCCTGCTTACAAACATATTTCTCATTCTGAATAGAAAAGATTTGGAAAAAAACAATGCTTGCTGTGTAGTTATTCTGCTAAAAATGATTGGCTAGCTTGGCCTCAGCTTGGCCTTCTTTCAGCTACTAAGAGAAGTAGCTATTTACCTGTTATTCCTGGTAAAACACTGTAGAAGTCGTTAAGCTAAATCTTTTCGATCACCAAGACAGTGAGATACCTGGATTGGCATAGCAGCACATTGGAAAATAATGTGATAAGAAAGAGTTCTGCTCTAGTTTTGGTAGTGTTTTATATGTGCATACAAGTTTGCATGAGGTTCTCTACAGCAGATGTGTTGATACAATTGCTGCAGCCTCTAACACCATTCAAAGGTTCGTGTTAGCTCTGCACTTCTGACTTTAATCAATGCTGCCTGTATTTATGGAAATAACTGTTGTCCTTTCTATACTGTTTCTGTTTATAGAGTTTTGCTTGGTCATCATGTTCAGAGTGGTCCATTGGTTTGCGGGTGCCTTTTGTGGTGGACGTTTGCTCCATGACGTTTGAGCAGCTGGATCTCTTACTGAGACAAGTGACGGAGGGAATGGATGGCACTTCGGATTGGCCTCCACCTCAGGAAAAGGAGTGTATGGCCGTGGCAACCTTAAACCTTCTAAGACTTCAGGTGCCTTCAATTTCTTGTTGAGTAGCCACTGGGATAAATGTTTCAGCAATTGCCTGGAGGAAAATGGTGGATTTAGTGTGCTTAAAAGCATTTTTATTGATTTTAAAAGATGAATTAAATATAATATTACTTTCTTCCTTTGGAATTTTGCAGATAATATTTGTTTTAACTTTAGCTGTCTGTGTTTTACAGCTCAGAACTGCCAGAAAGCTTTTCTTCTTTTGACAGTTTTTGAGTTGCCTTTAAAATGAACTATAAAAATAAAATGTAAATTGATATACTTACTGAATTTAATACATGCTCTCACAGGTTTTGAGCACTTCTTAATGTTTTAATTAGCATTTAGAAGAGTTAGCATCCTTTTTGTAGGGTATTTGACACTTACTGAAGATGTGCTACTTTTCATAGCATGATGTAGGAAAGTAGAAACAGTATTAGGTTTAGGTTGTTATTATTCATAGCTTTGGGTTATTTAGTTATATAAGACCATCATCCTCTGGTTTAAAATTGTGTTAATTTCAAAAAAAGAGAAATGTGCATGTGTGCAAACCAATTCCCTTTAAAGTAAATTTTACAGACTTAATAGGTAAAATGTTTATATCTAGATCAGTAAGCTTAAATAATTTTTGTTTGTTTGTTTCTCAAGCTCCATGCTGCCATTAGTCACCAGGTTGATCCCGAATGCCTTGGCTTGGGTTTGGGCAGTATTCTGCTCAATAGCCTGAAGCAGACAGTGGTGACGTTGGCAAGCAACGCTGGCGTTCTTAACACCGTTCAGTCTGCTGCCCAAGCGGTGCTTCAGAGTGGGTGGTCAGTGCTGCTGCCAACAGCAGAAGAGCGAGCAAGGGCGCTCTCTGCTCTCTTGCCTAGTGCAGGTAGGTCCCAACATTAAGAAAACCCAAAAAACTACTACTTTGTCCTTTCATTTCTCATTCATTAAATGTTTCTTCCATTCTTAGTTTCAGGAAATGAAACGAATGTAAGTCCAGGCCGTAGATTTATGATCGACCTTTTGGTGGGCAGCTTGATGGCTGATGGAGGCTTAGAATCTGCCCTCAATGCTGCCATTACTGCAGAAATTCAGGTATGCTTTGGCAAGTCTTTGTCAACAGCTTGTGAAGATAAACAGACATGTTCTACAGTTTTGAAGTGATGTTACCCCTTTTGATTTGAACTGTGCAACAGTGTTTGTATGGAAGCATGAATCACAATCTCCTTTTTAGCAGAGTGTTTATTTTTGTTGCCTAGAGGGTTGATTTTTTAAAACAGTAACAAATCTTTTCCTTGAAGTTTTATAATAGGAGCATAATTTTACACTGCTTTGTAGCTGTCTGTTTGATACCTCAATTCTTCACAACTTAGAGTTCCCCCATATCATGCCAGCAGAAATTTCAGCCGTATTAGTTGTAAATTAAAGGTGAATGAACTCCTTGCAATGTCCCAGTATTCTCTAGGTTCATTTAAAGTGTTTAAACTGTTTGACAAAGACTGACTAGTTACACAGAGGTTGAAAGAAACATTCTGTATATACTATCCTCTCCATAAGCCTCTCAGATATGGCACATTCTCTTTACAGGCCCAGAAGAAACTACCTTAAATTGTATTTCTATATGTCTATGAAAACACCAATGTGCATTTCCCTTGTATGCCTTTTTGTTTGATTCTTTTATTACCTCATGCGGAAAGTGAGATTGACACTGATGTGTTTTACAGGTATTTTCTCTCTGTGGCAGAATAAGAATAGATAAGAATCACTTAAAATGACTTGGCTTTTTATAGTTCTCTCAAAGACTGATACTGCCATCCCTTTTTCTCAGCTTACAAGACAGAAAATATCCAGAGAAGGACTACACCTGCAGCTAGATATTTCTGATGTTATTTTTTTCTTGGTTCCTGTTTTATGTTATGTTATTTATTGCAGGACCTCTAGATCTTAAGCAAGCCTCTTAGGGTGTGTATGCATAGCTCATATGCCTGAGCTGGTTTTAAGAATATCATGGAAGTGATGTAGGTGGTAACATGCAGTACAGTATGGATTAATTTACATTTCTTAAAATCTGGATGCATTAGTCTCAGCATAATTTTGTGCGACTCCAGCTCAGTAGCAAATCTAATCCAGGTGGTTCTCCTGTGAAAGGGAATTACTACTTTTATAAATACAGACTTTCTCCTGTGAAGCCTGTGGCAGCTATCATCATGACAAAACATAAATAGGAGAGAAATTATTTGTTAACCTGGATTGGTGGAAGCTGAATTCAGAGTTTTTATATTACAATTATTGAAAAGGCATGGAGAGAGAGACAAATTAAAAATGTGCCTATGTAGGCTTTATATGGAGTATAGAATACAAATTTGTCTCATGCATTGCTCCACTTCTGGAGTAGGCAAGAATGACTTGATCTTTGTTTTGTAAATCCTATTAGTAAAAACTTTTGTGATCATAGTTGCAATTTACTCTCTTTATTACACTTAATTTAAAATTTTAGGATATTGAAGCAAAAAAAGAAGCACAGAAGGAAAAAGAAATTGATGAACAAGAAGCAAATGCATCAACACTTCACAGAAGTAGGACTCCGTTAGATAAAGACCTTATTAATACCGGAATCTACGAATCTGCAGGAAAACAAAGTTTACCGTTAGTTCAGTTAATTCAGCAGTTACTAAGGTATTTGCTTCAAACTTCTCTTTCAATTTTCCATAGAAATCTGTAAATATTATGACATAATTTTTTCCTTTATAAAGGAAAATGTATTAATTTCACATAAAATATTTCGGTTTGGAAACTCTACATAAAATTACAAAATATTTAGCTGGATCTTTGCTGGGTTGTGGCTAGCAAAAAAAAAAAAAAAAAGTAGTCTTCTGACCATAGCATTTTGGCTCCTCAAAAGCAAAGTATTGGGCATTCTCCAAGTCTGTCTGTAGTTTTGCTATTTTATGTTGTTGACTAAGCAGGAAAACTCTGCAATGACCATCTGAATAAAGGAAGACTTGTTGGTTTGCTCTTGTGGATTTTGGTATTTCTTCTAATACTTTGAAAGGCTATGTAACAAATATGCTGTAAACATTTAGGAGTTTTTCTTACAAAGTAGACTCATCAGCATGTATTTATTTGGAACTGGATTAGGAACTGGTTTGGAACTGAACTTCAGGGCAATTCGAGTTGGGGCATTAAGTAGGGAAGAAACATGAGTGTTAAGTTCTTGACATGAAAAAAGAATTGTGGATAAAAGGCTAATACAGGCTGATGATAAAAGAGCTTCTTTATGACAACCACAACAGCAGGTAGGCCATAGAAACACGGGTGAAATTTTTGCTGGAATTTCTCACAAATAAATAACCTATGCAAGCTTTTCTTGTATGATGTCCTTTTATTTAATTTTAATATTATTTTTTTTAACCAACTAGGAACATTGCTTCACAGACAATAGCCAAGCTGAAAGATGTTGCTCGTCGCATTTCTTCCTGCATGGACCATGAACTTTATAGCAAGGAGAGATCTGCTTCTCTGGATTTATTGCTCCGTTTTCAGCGTTTACTTGTTAGTAAACTTTACCCAGGAGATTATGTTGTGCAGGTCCCTAATACATACAGTAAGTTATTTAAAAAAATATACTAAACAACAACATGAGCAATAAAAGAAAAAGCATTTCTGTAATATCTTTTTTGTAGGATTGTCAGCTTAAGTGTCCTGTCTTTCTGAAAAGAATTCAAAAAAAATTTCTGTTAAAGAAAATCTCTTCGGACTGCAGCAGAAATTAAGTCATAAACTTTTTAGAAGATAAAAAGGTGTTTTAATTTCTTACTTCAGTGCTAATAGAGTGGCTGCATTTTGGAGAAGTTTCATGTTTTTGAAGTCCATGTGTGGCTTTGCAATGGTTTATGTGTTCTTCCTCTCTTTCATACAGGCCCAGATCTCCTTGGAATTGGCTCTTTGCTGAAGAAATACACTGCCCTTCTGTGCACACACATCAGTGATATACTTCCTGTGGCAACCAGCATTGCTTCTGCTAGTCATAGGCATTTTGCAGAAGTATCCTGTGTTGTCGATGGAGATTTAACAGGTAGATCTTTCTCTATTCTCCGCCTTCCCCCCTCCCAGGAAATCATATAGTCAAAGTGTAGTGTCCTTGGGGGTTTTAAATAAGTGAGAAGAGTCAAATGAATCTCTTTATTTGGGGGAAGACAGGCAAATTTGTCTGAAAGATGGGAGCGTTGTACTAAAACAGTAATACAAATAGACTATGTTGCTTGGTGATTTATTTCCAGCAGGTTGTAAACTTGGTCTTAAATCTGAATATTTTCTGGTTTAGGTGTTCTTCTTCCAGAATTGGTAGTTTCTATAGTGTTACTCCTCAGTAAAAATGATGGGTTAATGCAGGAGGCTGGTGCTATCCCACTGTTGGCTGGATTGCTAGAACATATAGACAGATTTAACCATTTGGCACCTGGAAAGGAAAGAGATGACAATGAGGATTTGGCATGGCCAGGAATAATGGGTATGTGTTAACAGCATCTGGAATATTTATTTATGCTTTGATAAAATGGCTGCATAAAAATAGTGATTATTCATGAGCTTATCTCAGAAAGATGATTCTACTTTATAGTAACAGAAGGTTTAATTAATCCCAGTCAATTCAAAAGGCAATGTTTCTATTGGTGAACTCTTAATAGGTATAGAGATAGTATTAAACAGATTATAAATACAACTTTTAACCAATTCAACATTGTGAAAATGTGCATTTCTGACTGGTTATGATGGTGGCAGGAGGAATGGAACATGGTTGCTATTGCCCAAGAGCAATAAAAAACATACTGCTAGACAGGACTTCATTGGGAGAGTTTGGAGAAGGGAGGAAAAAAAACACACAGTTGTGTAAAAATTCAATTGGTGCTCAAATGAGCAAGCAGATGGAGAGGCATGTGTGCAGATATTACTCTGATGTTTACTGTCTTGATGATATTACCTTTAGTTTGAAAGAGTTTGCTGAGTTTTAGTGTTTATGTGACTTTTAATTAAAAAAAGGGTTGAAATGGAAATTAACTGTATATTCAGTGCCTTTTGTCTGAATGCAGTTCAAGCATATAGTAAAACTGGCATATAGTAGCTTTGAGAGGAAACCACTTAGAGCATTAATTTGCCAGAACAGCAGTTTTCCTGTTCCACCTCCAAGTAAAACAGCCATGTAGCTGGGCAGTGCCAAATTTAGCACAAAGTGACGTTGGAGGTTACTGCATAAAATAATGTAATATATAGAGGTAATTTGGCTGTGTTCCATATTATTGCTGGCATATTCAGAGAAGTTTAGACTTTTAAGCATGTCAAAAAAAAAAAAAAAACCAAGCTGCCTTTGAATAGACATGAAGAGTTTGGCAAGTCGACTACAAAAAACTTATATATTACTCTGTTTTATACCCATAGGTTCATTTTTTACTGCTCAGAGTTGCAGAAATAATGAAGAGGTGACGCTTATACGTAAAGCTGATCTAGAGAACCACAATAAAGATGGAGGATTCTGGACAGTAATTGACGGAAAAGTGTATGATATAAAGGACTTCCAAACCCAGTCGTTAACTGGCAATAGTATACTTGGTGAGAATCAGCACCTGAACTGAAGAGACAGATATATATATATATATTTTTCTAAACTAGATAGTATAGAGAGTTGTGTATATATTATACTGACTGCCTCATTCTTTCATTAGCTCAGTTTGCAGGTGAGGACCCAGTTGTTGCTTTGGAAGCTGCCTTGCAGTTTGAGGACACACGGGAATCGATGCATGCCTTCTGTGTTGGCCAGTATATGGAGGTAAAATGTTAGGATAGAAGAGGTTTATTCATTGAAAGTAAGGTGTTGTTTACTTTAGAAACTTTTGTTGGAACTCAGTTCTAGCTTTCAACTACTATTTCTTTTAATTAGCCTGACCAGGAAGTGATTACAACACCAGACCTCAGCAGCCTGTCATCACCTCTAATAGACACAGAGAGGAATCTGGGTCTTCTCCTTGGGCTGCACGCTTCCTATCTAGCAATGAGTACACCGCTCTCTCCTGTGGAGGTTGAATGTGCAAGTAAGCAGAACTCCATTTTAAACTTAAGTGATAAAGGCTCAACAAAACATGCAGGAAAAGAGTCCAAATAATTTAACTGTTAATCTAGCACCTGTTTAGTTTTGCAATTTTCTATAGAACAGAAGTTCTTGTTCTTAACGTTAACTAAGATGCACATCAAGGTCTGAGAATTTAATTAGCAAAATTCAAAGAGGAATTAGCTTATAATTTTGAACAAATAACACAGAATTTTAAAATCTATAATATATGGAGAATGTTGAAAGAGAAATGAAACTGTATAGCAGTTATCTCTTTGTCATGTTCAGATAAGAGTGTTTCAGGTGTCTGATGCTAGATTCTACACTGTTTTTTGAATTGTACCCTCTAATCACCAAACCAACATTAATCACAGAATAATAGCTAAGGTCCTGCTATCTCCAAATAGGTAATAACTGCCCTATACTTGAATGTTTCTGAATTTGTCTGTTTTCCTTCCCCTCCTTGCTGCTTCTAAAAAGCTTCTGCAGATGGAACGTCTGCTAAACCTTCTGTTTGCAGCTGTACTGCTTGCCTTGCTTCAGGGTCTTGAGAGGTTAACTTTTCATCAGAACACACATTTATGTTTTGCTCTTTTCTTTTAGAATGGCTCAAGTCATCTATCTTTTCTGGAGGCTTGCAAACTAGTCAGATTCATTACAGTTACAATGAGGAGAAAGATGAAGACCACTGCAGTTCACCTGGTAACACCACCCCGAATAAGTCGAAGCTATATACGCATCGCCTAACTTTGAGCGACCATTCACAACCTTTCCTCCAAGCTATTGCGGACAATAATATTCAGGATCACACTGTGAAGGTGAGCCCTCTACAGTCCTATTAGCAGAGAAAAGTTTTCCTGAAAACCTTCAGTGATGCCCTGAAGCAGGTTCATTGATGAAGGGTGTCTGAAAGTTTCTTAGTAGACAATATAAATAGTTATTTCAAAATTACTATTTGTGAAAGGAGTAGTTGAGTGCTACTAATGGATAAAATGTACTGTATTTTCACTTAATATGATAACTGTGCAATGTCTTCTGAATTTTTGATTGAGAGCTGAAAACTGTAAGCGTGTTTTTTACAAAAAGTTATATACTGCATTGCTTTCCATGTAAGGCTTAACTCAGCTGAATAGAGATGGAGTTCTCAGTCAAAATGCTGATGTATTCTGTTTCAGATGCAAGTCTCTCTGCACCTTGGCATTTAGATCTCACATAATAGATGGATATTATGAAAACCTTACTTTCATATTGATCACTGTGTTCCTAATACCTGCAGAATTTCTAACAGTTTGATTCTGTTTTTTTTTTTTTTTCTTTAATAAGTCCTGTGGAAGATGAAATAGCAATGGTGATGAGTTAGGAGAAGACTTGTAGAACTGTGTTCTCCTGTTATCTAGATAGGAAATCAAAAGCAGTAGTAGCTTTGTTCCTTGTAGCCATGTTGCCCTTAATATTAGAAGAACAGTACAGAGCAGTTGTTGGTGGTAAATCCTGTTGATTAAATAGTGTGTGCTGTGTAGGATCTCTGGCTTCTAAGTATTGTTTCAGGTTGTGGAGATTTTTCATTGTTATTTACATGGTAGCTATTTTTTATCCTTTGTTACATTAAAAATAATACAATACTGTTCTGTTTTCTCTTTTTGTAGGACTTTTTGTGTCAAATAGAAAGATATTGTAAACAGTGTCACCTAACAACACCAATCACGTTCCCTCCAGAACATCCTGTGGAAGAAGTAGGACGTTTGTTATTATGTTGTCTTCTGAAGCATGAAGATTTGGGTAGGTAGGCTTGTGGTACGGCTGTTTGGACCAAGTCAAACTCTGCCATAGATTGTTTTATGAATATATATTCATAAGTTGTCCTTTGCTTTTAAGGTCATGTGGCACTGTCTCTTGTTCATCCTGGTACTCTTGGAGTTGACCAGGTAAAACACAAAACCTTACCCAAATCTGTAGTGGATGTGTGTCGTGTTGTGTACCAAGCAAAATGCTCACTGATTAAGGTAAGTCTCTTGGCTTCTGATGTCTAGATTATTATTTTTTAGAAATATTTCATTTTCAAAGTTGTATATTCTGTTTTGTTTTATGTAACGTAAGAGTAACCTGTATTTTTTCCATGCCTTTTCTAGACCCATCAGGAGCAAGGGCGTTCTTACAAGGAGGTTTGTGCTCCTGTCATTGAACGTTTGAGATTCTTATTCAATGAGCTGCGTCCTGCAGTTTTCAATGATCTCTCTATTATGTCAAAATTTAAACTTCTAAGTTCCTTGCCCCGATGGCGAAGGGTGGTTCAGAAGATCATTCGAGAAAAAAGAAAGAAGAGAGGTAGGAACATTAATCCTGTCTTTTCTATGCAACAGTGAAACTCAAACTCATTTCAAAGTTTTTTGCTTAATTGACTTTTTATTTAATTAGCTAAAGTGCCCAAACCATTTACTTTCTTGTGCATTTTTACAAACTTTTCTAGATAGTGATCAAATGTCAATTCCTACAGCAAAAACAAATGAGCACGGATGTTAAGCTAAGGTGAAGTTTGGTGCTTGTTTTCCCAGGCTATTAAAAACGACCTGTTGATAATCAATTGTTTTGAATTTATGTGAGGTATACCTAGAAGTGTTATCTTCTTAAAAATAATTGTTTATTTTAAAGTGTTAAAACAACTCTTTGACTCAAAATGCTAGTGTGCTGATGGAGTCCTAAAATGCAACTCTTGTTTATACTTGAAGATAAAGCATATTGCCAGTATTACCAAAGCTAGATTGATAATAGTTGGATTTACAGTTTACCTAGAGTCTATTTCCCTTTTGTCACAGGCAGATCTTATAATAAATTGTGTATATTCAAGTCATCTTGCAAACACGATAAATGCTCTGGTTTTATTTTTTTCCCTTCTAGTGTCAAAAAAATCTGAATCCGCTGACGTAGAAGAATCCAAAATTGGAAATGAAGAGAGTGATCTAGAAGAATCCTGTGTTGTACCTCACAGTCCTGTATCTGTAGATAAACGGCCCATACCAATCAAATCACCCAAGGTGGGATATCAGATTTTGAATCAACCTTGTGAGTTAACATAGTAATAGGAAAGGTTATTAGCCGAAGCACTGTTTGGTATAAATTGGCATTTACTATTCTGGTAATAGTGTTTGAAATGCATATGTATGGCATTTTGTTTTAATTAAACGTTAAAAATAAGCTGTGTGCTGCATATTTAGAATCTGTAAAGATATTTTCTTTAATTATAAGATAAATTCTGAAATGAAACTTTACCCAAAGAATAAACGATTGCAATAAGTCAGTCCCTCTTGTTTGAGCACCAATACATGTGAAATTATATGCAGTAATTAGAAGAATGATAGTGAGATACAAATAATCTTAAACTTCTCCCTGGCTTTTTAAACTTTTTTTTTTCTTTTTTCTTCTTTTTTCACCTACTATTTGAAATTTGGATGTTGTTTTACATGAAATAACTTATTATTTGGTGACATAAAATTCATTTAACTTGTAATTGCCCAATTCTGCAGGATAAATGGCAGCCACTTCTGAGTACAGTTACAGGTGTCCACAAGTACAAATGGCTGAAACAGAACGTCCAAGGCCTGTATCCACAGTCTGCTCTGCTTACTACCATTGCTGAATTTGCACTTAAAGAAGAGCCAGTGGATGTGGAGAAGATGAGAAAATGTTTATTAAAGCAGGTAAGCTGAGTAAAAAAAAAAACGTGCTTGCAAGTGCATGTGTTAGCAGTTTACATAAACATGACAGTTTATTGTTTTCTTTTTATCATTTTTAAAAAATTTTCTCACTTTTCCAGTTAGAAAGAGCAGAAGTCCGTCTGGAGGGAATAGATACTATTCTGAAACTGGCAACCAAAAGTTTTTTGCTCCCGTCTGTGCAATATGCTATGTTCTGTGGGTGGCAGAGGCTTATTCCAGAAGGCGCCAACATAGGGTAAAGCTCATTCTCTGTCCTTCTGTGTCCCTTCCAGTCCTTGCCCCCATCTCCCCACTTCTTTCTTTTTAATTTCTTTCACAAGTCTTAAGAAATAATTTAAGTATTTAATTTTTTCTGTTGTTCTTTTTATATGAAGGGAACCTCTTACTGACTGCTTGAAGGATGTTGATTTGATCCCACCGTTTAACAGAATGCTGCTAGAAGTAACTTTTGGAAAGCTGTATGCATGGGCTATTCAGAATGTCCGCAACATCTTAATCGATGCTAATGCAAGATTTAAAGAACTAGGTGAATCTCATTTTGTTGCTGTTGGGGTGGACACGTGGGGAGAAAAACTGTATTACTTTTTTTTCAAGTTCCTAGTAACTGGGAACATAGCTCACTTTATTAGTGGAGCTGATGATGTTTTAGTGATGTTTCACCATTAACGTTTAAATCGTCGTAAAAAGTTTCTCCGAACTTTGCTTGTGAATTCCTAAAACCAAGGGTGGAATAACAAATCCATTAACCATCGAGTTGATAAAGTGTTTTACCATAGCTTGCAAACATCAGCTGACTGTTATGCATCCTGTTCCTGCCTTAGGGGTGCAGCCTGTTCCTCTGCAAACAATTACTAATGAGAACCCAGCCGGGCCGAGCCTCGGCACCATCCCCCAAGCCCGGTTCCTGCTGGTCATGCTCAACATGCTGACGCTGCAGCATGGTGCCAATACCTTGAGCCTGCTCCTAAATTCTGGCATGCTGGCCTTGACACAGACCACGCTGCGGCTCATAGGTACGGAGTCTTTGGTGTTCTTATTCTTTTGTAGAAAATATAGGTTTGGTAGATACCTCTCGTAGGTTTTAGCTCGTGGTGTGCGCAGAATACAGAATGTCCTTTGTCTTGATGATCCTTTCTTGGAATTTGTTAGTGATAGAGTAGGTTTGGTGGAAACATTAAAGACTTCATAGTCCTTTGGGTGTTTGTTAGCCTGATTCAAGTTTTCCTGCTTTTATTTCTTTTTCCCAGATAGTAGCAAATAATTGTTCCTGCAACTTTTACTTAACTGAAGTTCCCAGATGAAGTGTTTCCAAAAAACCAAAAACAAAACAAAAAAACCTCAGTCATTGGACTAGTCTTTCAAATTTCTTTATTATTTGTCATTTATTTTTTGTTCAATGCTAAGTGTTTAAAAACTGATGTATTCAAAATTATTACATCCTAGCTGTCTAAAAGCTTACCTGACTCTTACGTGTTAAGTCAGCTTCCTTATTGTTTGCCACTTTCCTATTACAAACCTTACGTGCAATCAGGTTTAAGCTCGACTAAGATACTAAAAAAATTATAACTGCTGTTCAATTTTTCCTCCCCTCTTTTTTTTTTTTTCCAACCTCTCTTTAGGCCCTAGTTCTGACAACATTGAGGAAGACATGATTGCTTCTTCTCGTGGAGCTTCTGCTACAGTCTTAGAAGAGTCGAGAAAGGAAAGCACACCAGTCCAGCTCCCTGTTTCTGGACCGGAACTAGCAGCCATGATGAAAATTGGTACCAGGGTGGTGAGAGGGGTAGACTGGAAATGGGGCGATCAGGTACAACTTCTTACATGCAGGTTTGGATGTGTTAAATTCTGAAGTCTGAATTTAATGGGCTGCCTGTGAATTTTGTATTCCAACTTTAAAAGTCACTTTATCTTTGAAAGACTTAGTTAACATTAAATAGTAAAATACTCATTTAATTTCATTTTTTGGCCATAAAAGCTTTTTTGATTTGATACATTATTAAAAGTAAGCTGGAGCGCTCGTATTAATTAATTAGCCATAGTATTAAATCAGATGTGTGGAACTTCTAGATTATATTGTAAAGTAGATGTAAACTTGGATGCTGCTGCAGTTTCCTGGGTTGATTTCTTTAAAAGATCGTGAGATTGTTTTCCAACTTAATGCTGAATTTTGAAAAAATACCGAATGTTACATGCCTAGACATTAGGTTAACAAAGGAAGAAAAAAAGCTGTCAGTGATGCTATTACTTATTAAGTTTGAATATAAATTGCTTTTGCCAGTTGCTTGACTTGAGGCTCTCTCCTGTCAGGATGGGCCCCCACCTGGTTTGGGTCGTGTGATTGGAGAACTGGGAGAAGATGGCTGGATTAGAGTGCAGTGGGACACAGGAAGTACAAACTCCTACAGAATGGGAAAGGAAGGAAAATACGATCTCAAACTAGCTGAGCCACCACCTGCAACTCAGCCCACAACAGAAGATTCAGACACTGAGGATGATTCTGGTAAAAACCAATTTTTTATAAAAATACAATATGGTTTTTGGGTAAAGCCACAAATCAGCATTTTGCCAAGAGAAAGCAAGCTGCTTTCAGAGCAGAAAATGGTTCATTACAAGTGATTGATCTAATAGATATACAATTCTGACCAGAATCTCTCTTAAAGTAGCTTTAGTGAAAGGATTATTGTGTTTGTTGAACATTCACAGGCCAAAGAGAAAAGATATTATCCAACTGAAATAGTTTCAGTTACTGGCATGAGGAGGTACAAACTTGAACATATGTTCATGACCCTCTAGAGTGTGGATTTTATCTTGCCACAATTTTTCCCTGTTCTTGTCGCACTGTATTCTGAATTTCTTTTAAGTAGTGCAGTGCTAGAGAGCAATTTGAGAGTATTAGCAAGAAATAATTGGCTTATATTTTTCTCTAGCAGTGTGAAATAGTCTTCCTCACATCAAATCAGCTTCAGAAATTAATATTTCTCCTGATTTTCTCAACTATTGTTTGTTTCGGAACAATATGTAACGTAGATTAACTAAATATCAAGGTGTTTGGTTTTTGTGCCTCCCTTCAGAAGGAGAACAAGTCGAAAGGAATCTGCACCCAACTTCCATGATGCTGACAAGCACTGTGAACCTGCTGCAGACGCTGTGTCTCTCTGCTGGTGTGCACGCTGAAGTCATGCAGAGCGACGCTACCAGGACCCTGTGTGGGCTGCTCCGTATGCTTGTGGAGAGCGGCACCATCGATAAAGCGGGTATGGTACATAGACATAACCTGCTCCCCTGTGTGTTTTATTCGTGTCTTGCCTCTTCGCAAGTCTTCGCTGCAGTTCTTTTAATCTTTTAAGACCAAAGGCTAGAAAACGTATTTTCAGATCTTTAAAATCTTAATTGGTTGCAGAAGCAACATAAATGATACTGACCATTCTTAGATCATAAACAGAAATAGTTGGTGAAACGCATGAGATCATAAGCATCAAGACAAGGATAGTTTGTTTAGATGATGAATTACTTAGGCTGTTTTATTCTGTCTGGGGGAATAGTATGATTGGGTGTTATCACGTTCACTTCTATAGCTTCGCTGGAAGTTTAGAGAGTAAAGTTTTTATTCCTTTAAAATGAGCTAAGTAAGGAAACAGTATGAGCATGAGAATTCTCTTAAAGACATATTTGAAAAAAATCTAATTACAAAGCTATATTTAAAGACAGTTTGGTAGCTCAATATTATGATTTATCCAAAAAATACCCCAGGAATAGAGAATTGTTGCATAGCTCGTGGAAAAGTCAACCGTTACATATGTATCTCTTATTTTTAGCTTCCTTACCAAATAAATTAGTTTATAAAGAACAGCATAGAAGCTGGTGCACCTTGGGATTCATAAGAAGTATAGCGCTCATGCCTCAGATGTGCAGCACTCTTAGTACCTCTCAGTGGATAACTCTACTAATGAAAATTGTTGAGGGGCATGAATCTTTCACTGCCGCTTCACTGCAGAGACAGGTAATGTGTGCATTTTCAGATTATTTTAATGAGAAATTAATTTGGTGGGTTTGAACTGTCTTTAAAAACAAAATCATAAAATGCCTGGTTTTTAGTTAACCAAAAAAAGGGAAAGATGTCTTCTAATATTTAGAATTCACTGTTTAATATATGTATGTACTTTTGGAGCCTTGAGAGCAGCACAGGCTGTCTTGTTCTCATGAAAGCTTGAAAGTTTTGTGGAGATGTGAGGCCAGAGTAGTGTTGCAAAAATGGATTCGAGGAACTCGCATGTAATGCTTCCTAGAAGTTAGAGAAAAGATGGTTAGGAAAAGTGTACAGTTTGATTGTAGAGCTCTCCAATTATGTAGTATCTGCTGTCGCACCCTTCAGGATAAATCGGTGTTTTACTTTAGTCTCTTTTAAAAAGCTGCATCTTTGAAGCTTATTTCAGTATTCAAAACAAAACAAAACAAAAAACTAAAAGTCAACTTGCAGATTTTAAGTCTTAAGCTTTTTTCATGAGAATGTGAAGCACTCTTGTTATAGGATATCTCTTCCAAGATCTAAGAGTCAGGGATAAAGAGATCTTCCTTGGTCTTTTCTTTGCTAAAGATGTTAAGAATTTAAACTTAAATTTGTATTATAAATTTGTATTATTTTATATGTTATAAATGTATAAAATACACTATATATGTATTATAGAATACATATATATGTATTACTATGTGATATTCCAAAGATTTTGGGGTGGGGAGGTGCATTTTTTTGGTATTTTTGATTCAGTTAGCCTTTTCCCCTCATTCAGGCCTTGGTGCATTAGACTCATCTATGCTGTTCAGGGACTTTGTGAGAGAAATGGGAGTTCCTTAGGAACTTTATATATATCTACTTCAAATGCAATAACGCTAATTTTGCCGTCTTTCTAGATCCTTGCTGTACATTTATTGAAAGCAGTACTTCCATCCTGGGACAAAAATGAAAGGTCAAGAGATATGAAATTTCTTGTGGAAAAACTGTTTGGTTTTTTAGGCAGCCTGCTTAGTACTTGTTCTTCAGATATCCCACTACTCAGAGGTAGGAGATTTTATCTTAATGGCTTTATTTTATATGTAAAATACATATGTTAAATTGACAAATATTGTGTGAGTGCTTTATTTTTTCAGAATCTACTCTGAGAAGGAGAAAGGCCAGGCCCCAAGCATCTCTAACAGCAACTCACAGCAGTACTTTAGCAGAAGAGATAGTGGCACTGCTGAGGACACTGCATTCGCTAAGCCAGTGGAATGGACTCATAAACAAGTACATCAACTCTCAGCTAACCTCCATCACCCACATCTTTGCAGGAAAACAGTCAGAAGGGGTAGTTTCCACGTTTTAAAATAGCTCATTTTTATAGCAATATTTATTTTAAAGTGATAAATATTAAATGCTTGTAAATAATACTAAGCTTAATTTTGAAACCATTTTTTTATTTATATATGTATAGCTGTGCTGTAATCTTTAAATTGGAATACGTATAATTACTTTTTATTTAAAAAAAGTAGAAGTTTGTTTTCTCCCTACAGTTAATGTTACTGTTCCTTGTTAGGCTCTTTTGGATGACTACTTCCCTGATCCTGAGAATCCAGAGGTGGGAGGCCTCATGGCAGTGTTGGCAGTGATTGGTGGCATCGACAGTCGCTTGAGATTGGGTGGGCAAGTAGTCCATGATGAATTTGGAGAAGGCACAGTGACACGCATCACTCCCAAAGGGAAAATCACTGTACAGTTCTACGAAATGCGAACGTGTAGAGTGTGTCCTCTGAATCAGCTAAAACCAGTAAGCTCATCCTGTTGAGACTTAATGCAGGGAAAGGCTATGGTTTGGGGGAATTAAATGTAAAGATTTTGTATGGTGCAAATAAATTATTTGTTTTGAATTCAGTAAATATACTGAAACTTAGGACCTGCACATCTGAACTAATTTAAACCTAAAGCAGTACTCATGCATATCCTTATAACTTTAAGATGGGTTCAGTGACAGTCCCCAACCTGCAGTTTCCTTGCTGTATGTCTGTCTTGCTTTTTTGCCCAGTAGTTGTGTGATTGTGAGGAAAAGCTGCTAAGGGTGTAGCTACATAGTGAAGGGGACCTCTCTGGTTGTTCCTGGTTAAGAACTGTAAAAATGCATAATGTTTTTGCTCCTTCTCAAGCAAGAATCATTCACAGTCCTGAATGATTTTATGAAATTTTGCAAATGCTGATTGATATTTTGTATTTTTATCCATTGCTTCTCCCCCAGCTCCCGGTTGTGGCTTTTAATGTAAACAACTTGCCCTTCACTGAACCTATGCTATCTGTGTGGGCTCAACTGGTAAACATGGCTGGAAGTAAAACAGAAAAGCAGAGAATTAAGTCTCCTAACCAGGGTCTTTCAGGTACTTTTTTTTTCTTTTTCTTCATTTATTTATTTATTTATTTTAAAGCCTCAATACTGTGTGTTTATGGAGTGTGTTTAGTTAAGAGATGCTGGAGAGAGTCCAGCGCAGGGCCACAAGGATGATCAGGGGCCTGGAATATCTGCCCTACGAGGAGGCTGAGGGAGCTGGGCCTGTTCAGCCTGGAGAAGAGAAGGCTGAGAGGGGATCTGATCAGTGTCTACAAGTACCTCAAGGGAGGCAGTGAGGAGGATGGTGCTGGCCTCTCTTCAGTGGTGGCCACTAAAAGAACTAGAGGAAATGGCCAGAAACTGAAGCATCAAAAGTTTCACAGGAACTTAAGGAAAAATTTCTTAACAGTGACGGTGACAGAGCCCTGGAACAGGCTGCCCAGAGAGGTTGTGGAGTCTCCTTCTCTGGAGATCTTCAAAACCTGCTTGGACGCAGTCCTGTGCCACGTGCTCTAGGTGACCCTGCGTGTGCAGGGGGGTTGGACTAGATGATCTCTAGAGGTCCCTTCCAACCTTAAGCATTCTATGTCTCTATGATTCTGTGTACAGTGTAATACAGTTTTTAATTTGACAAGAAAACATGGATATAGTTTGGACTTCTTGTATTGTTTTACATATTAGATGCATATGTCTTAATTATATATGTCTTAACTACACTCACTGTATTGTGCATCTGCATGTGGGGTGGCCCAAAGTGAAACATAGGTGTTTTCTAATATTGTGTGTCATAAAAACCCTATGTAATTCATTAGCATTTCACAAGCTTTCACACAGTGAGTAGAGATGTAAAATGTTTTTCAAACTTGGTTTGTAAGGTTGTATGAACATTAGCCTTGCTCCTCTAATACAGCATTAATGGGCATACGATGTTTCTGATAGGTCAAGTGGATTTGGATCTGCTGAGATGCCAGCAACTAAAACTGTATATCCTGAAAGCAGGACGAGCCCTGCTGTCTCACCAGGATACACTACGGCAGATCCTGTCTCAGCCAGCTGTTCAGGAGTGTGCATTAAATCCTGCAGGTATGTTGAAACTGAGCGTGCCACGGTTTGTGCGGGTGGTAGATGCAGCACGTGAATACAACCTTTACAAGTGGTAGTTGAAGGTTAAAAATTACGTTGGACCTCAAAAAACTAAGAGTTATATCTTTAATTCAGTAATGTTTTAAAGTTATGTATTAAAAGCCTTTTGATTTTTTTGACTTAAGTTTTAGAAGAATAGGATCAGGTGTTTGAAGATTGAAATGTTGGAGTTTGCCAAATATACATAGAACATTATTTCATACTTAATATTTGGACAGAATTTTAAATAATTTTAAAACAATTATGTTTTTTGCTATTTTTTCTCCTTCAAAGCTTTAAGTGTGAGATCTCAGTTATTCTTTTTACTTTAAATATTTCACATTTTCTAGCAAAAAAAAAGAATTGGATTATATATAGTATCTTAAGCACGAGCTTAAAAGGAATATAATCAATTATAGTTTTAATTAATTTCATCCTACCTATATATGAAATCTAAATATAAAAAACGTAAGAAAAAGGAGAAAATAGCTCCCCCAGTTTTCAGGATTGCTATTGATGTCCTTCTAGTTCAAATGAATTCTTTGAACATTGCATGAACAGTATGTACCAGACCATTGGGAATAATCAGAAGAGGTGTTTTTTAGCAATCTGTATATCATGGTTTGTCCTGGAAGTAGCTCTTTGTAACAGTGTTACTGTAACAAGGTGAACTCAGCTCTACTTGTGCACATTTGTTGTATACTGAGCAAACTTGTTCTAGGAGTATTTTAGTCAAACTGGCGTTTAATTACAAGTTTCTCACTTGCTTTGTGCACAGAGCATGTGTTGCACATGGCTTCATCTTAAATATGTGATTCCTGTGGAGTAATAGGGCAGAAATAACTATGTGTGGTCTGCACGTTTATTACATGTTCTTGCTTAAAATAATGTTTTTGTTTCAAGATGATGGAGCAGTTGCGTCTCCTGACATAGGAGATATGTCTCCTGAAGGACCTCAGCCTCCCATGATCCTTCTGCAACAACTTTTGACAGCTGCTACCCAGCCATCACCTGTGAAAGCAATATTTGACAAGCAAGAGCTTGAGGTAGAGTCTCTGCTTTCTTATAATGAGTAACGTAACCTACAGTCTGTCTGATTAACCTTCCAATTTAATTTTTTTTTGCTTCCTTGTTCTTTCATTCCCTCTCCCTTCCCTCCCACACACGCATGCAAGCATAAATAAAATCATGTTGAGTGTTCTTGTTTTATGGAGACTAATTTGTGTTCCCATTTAGGCAGCTGCTTTGGCAGTGTGCCAGTATCTGGCTGTAGAGTCTACACATCCTTCAACTCCAGTGTTTGAAGACTGTAGCTCTAGTGAGGCTACAACACCTGTCACAGTGCAGCATATTCGACCTACAAAAGTGAAGAAACGCAAGCAATCTCCAATTCCACCTCTTCCTATTGTAGTTCAACTAATGGAAATGGGTTTTCCTAGGAAAAATATTGAATTTGCACTAAAATCATTGTCTGGAACCTCTGGAAGTGCTTCTGGATTACCAGGTATGTTGGTTACATGAATGGTGTTAGAAGGAAAGCTGCCAACAGACTAAAGCATTGCTTGCAAAGGAGCAACTGATACTTACCTTTTTGGAAATCCCTGTGGGATGAATGTTGGAAAATCCCTTAGTAACAGACTGTTGTCTCTATTAGGCGTGGAAACCTTGGTTGGCTGGTTGTTGGATCATCCTGATGTTCAGATTACTGATCTTTCTGATGCTGAAACTGTTTCTGATGAATATTCAGATGAGGAAATAGTAGAGGAGGTAGAAGAAGCTGAAGCTGCCTGTCCTGTGGTGAGTGTCAACTTTTACATTCCTTACTAAGTCATTCTGGAAAATAAGCTATGGTTTAAAGCAAAGTAGGCATAAGCTTTATTCTTGCAGTCAGTTGACTTGAAGATTTTTCCTATTTCAGCATGCAGCTTTGATATTACATGTGTTTGCATTTGTTGGATAATCTTGAGTTCCTGACAGTTAGTTGTATTTATCTGAAATGAAAACAGAAAAAAAACTGCTGTATGTATTTCTTGCGTTTTCTTTCCAGTCAAGTGGTGCCGTTGTAACAGAGAGTCAAACCTATAAGAAGCGAGCTGATTTCTTAAGTAATGACGATTATGCTGTGTATGTAAGAGAAAATATTCAGGTAAGCATGGTGATGGAAGCAGTATGGAAACTACTTCCCTTCCCTACATACATCTGTGCAGAATTACAGAAATAGTGTTTTATTGTCCTCTCTTATCTAGGTGGGAATGATGGTTAGATGCTGCAGAACCTATGAGGAAGTTTGTGAAGGAGATGTGGGCAAAGTAATTAAACTGGATCGCGATGGATTGCATGACCTCAATGTGCAGTGTGACTGGCAGCAAAAGGGCGGTACTTACTGGGTCAGATACATCCATGTTGAGCTTTTAGGTAAGTTCACTGCTGTTTTTAAATAACTGAATGATAAAATAAGGGAGCCTCATCTTGAGGAGGGAAAAACCTCACCATGTGTTTATTCTTGAAACTGCTAGGATTCCCACCACAAAGTTCTGCCTCGCATATCAAGATTGGTGACAAAGTGCGTGTGAAAACCTCTGTTACCACACCCAAGTACAAATGGGGATCAGTTACTCACCGAAGTGTTGGAGTAGTCAAAGGTAGTGTGCATTGCAAATGGGGGAGGTGAGGGGATAAAATTTGATACCACACAGCCTTTGTGTGGTGCTTAAAGAGAATCTTTCTGATAGACTTACGGCTCCTACCGCTATGTAGGAGACTGTGTGCTGATAAGAGAGAATGCAAGGGAGACATTGATGGCTATGATGAGTTTAGAGTCTCATGCTATGGCTGCTCCTTTCCTCTAATGAGCTACTCCCTTCAGATGTAGTAGAAGTCTTTAAAAGGGGTTAGCTTCCTGTGGTAGTCTTACACTTTTATAAAATGAATCACTGGTATAGTTCCCTTTAAAAGGTAAGTCTGGTTTGGGAAGACTTAATAGGACAGTGATGCAGAAGTGAGATGCATTAATGTCTACCTGTAAGTGACTTCATAGTATGAAGTGATCTGTGGGACATAGATTCTTTGTAGTGGTACAGATTTTGGTCGGTTGTTTTGTTCTTAGGAATTGTCTCTCTCTAAGAAATGTTTAAAAAAAATCAGGGCCAAGAATGAGAATGAAATATATTTTCAATTTTCAGTGCTTTCCTCCCTCACTGCAGCCTACTTGATTAGGCTAATACATTGTTCCATTAAAATATAAGGTCACTATGAAAATAACTTCTTTTTGTAACGTACTTCTGCTCTGATGCTGATTACATAACTGGACAGTTTCCACTTAATTTTATAGAGATTTGCAAGACATTGTGTTTTCTGCATGTTTTGTCACAGCATTTAGCGCCAATGGAAAAGATGTCATTGTAGACTTCCCTCAGCAGTCTCACTGGACTGGCTTGTTGTCAGAGATGGAGTTGGTCCCCAGCATTCACCCTGGAGTCACGTAAGTGATGATTTATATTTTTATTAATGTACATGGGCTGCCTCTTCGCCTTACTGTCTTCATTTTATTGTCTTGAATGTTGTTATAATTAAATTGTACCATGTAATTGCTAAAAATGTTAATATTTTGTTCTTTTATGAAATTAGGTGTGATGGCTGTCAGATGTTTCCTATCAATGGGCCTAGATTCAAATGCAGAAACTGTGATGATTTTGACTTCTGTGAAACATGTTTTAAGACCAGGAAGCATAACACCCGGCATACTTTTGGCAGAATAAATGAACCAGGTAAATTCAGAATTTTAGACTTTCTGGCATGAATTAAAAATATGTTTATTTTAAAAATAGCCTTAAAATGTAGCTGCTTAACATAGTAAAAATACTTTTCAGAATAAGCAGCACAGTATTTTTGCAGAACATAGCTGTTGTTGCAATTGCCTGCAGTGACTTACACCAAAACTTAAATACTTAGGTAGAATGCTTATCAGCATTGAGTGTGTTTAAAAAAATGGTTACAGTAATTCCTTATGCAAGAACTGAGCCACACTAGAATAAAATGCTGTAAGTCTTTGGTCTTCCTTTGCTTTGTGTCTTCCTTTGCGTTTCAAAAGAGATGAATCAGTCCTTCATGCCTGCAGGTACAGCTTGGAATGCCTAAGATTCCCGTATGGTCCTTAGTTGCTCCTGGGCAATTTTGCCCAGCAGTGTGTGAGTGTTACTTCCTTATAGCCTCCAGGATCTGGAGACTCAAGATAGGTGTGATAAGGAAGGGAAACCTTTCAGAGGACTCCTCCTTTTGCTCTCTCTTCTCGTTC